AAATGACTTCCAGTAGAAATTGCATGAGAGCTGCACAAACTGCATGGGAGTTTAGCTAAAACCTAATTAGCAATAGGTCTTTACCTGTGCTGATCTTGAAGTCTGGTTCTTCAGGGTAGGGAAACTACTAAAGTACAACTGTATGGGAACTTGGCATTACAGCATTATTCAGCTTTATTGCATAAAGTCAGCCAAATTACTCCAATTTATTGATGGGAAGAGATTGTGTTTCTTTTGTGCTCCATAATTTCTAGCTCCAGATGGCATTGTGCCTGGGTAACCTATAAATGGACCCATTTTGCCATGCTATGCCATGCCACTAATAACCATTGGCTTTTCCTTGCTGCCAGGCTGTTGCTCTCAGGTGAGAAATGATTTCTTCTGCTTTTTTTCTCCAGAAGTTGCACCTACAGTTAGTGGTTCTTGCCTCTGTATGTGATGGGTCATTAGTCCCTGCTGCCAAACTTTGCACCGAGAGCTGGCAGCTGTTTCCTGACTCAGGTGGTGGTGGTGGCTTCCAGCTCTTGGTGCAGACAGGCCTTGGTGTGGGCTGCCCAGAATGTCCTGTGGGGCTGGGGTTTGGATAGGGATGTGTTCAGTGTTCCTGGGGCAGAAGGCTACATCCTCCTATTTTGGGACATGCTGTTCTTAAGGAGTTTTGCATGTGCTCTGCTCTTGTTTTGTTAAGGGCTTTTACTCTGCTCCATTTTTTTTTTATAATTTTTTTTTGCTTGGAACTGTACAATGTAACTAATTTTAGTCCACGTACCTATCAATTGTGCCAGGAGTATCTGGCTGAACCCTAAACTAGAAAAATATGTGTATGGATATGTTAGGGGCCTGCAAAAGAAATGCTGAAGACCAGTAAAGCTGATCTTTGCCCTTGTAATCCAAAACAAAGGATCCTTTTTTTTTAAACATAAAGACTTTTTGATGTCATGTTAGATGTTGGCTCTTTTAAAATGTTCACTGCAGCTGTAAGGAGAGGTTGCAGTATCTCTTCACCACTGGATCAGCTGGGCTTAATTACTTACCTGAGGTCTGTCTTACCTGAATGTCTTTTGGAAATCTGGTAATGCAAAACATGAATCACTGATGGTTGTATTTTACACTACAAATCTGCAGAATTCATTACTTTCTTTGAACTAATTTTTGTGTATAAGCATAAAGCAAGCAAATTCAATGGCTCCTGGACTTACTCTGTTAAGTCTCATTTGAATTCAAAGAATTCAAAACTATTTAATGGATATGTGTTTGCAATGGACAGCACATATGGTCCTACTGCTGTCTCCCTCCTGGTGCTAATTTTTGCAGTTTTGGAAAGTTCAGTTTGCAAGACTTCCTTAATTTAATTTATTTATTATATATTATACCTATTTATCATAGGTAGAAGGTGACTGATCTGTTGCTTCTCAGCTGCATGGACATTGCTAGCCCTTTGCCTGTGGCTCCTTGCCTGGAGCTGTGTCAGGCAATAGGCAGCCAGGTAAGAAGAGGCAGCTCCTCAGGAGGAGTGCAGCAGCATTCCCAGTGTGCTGTAAGGCTCAGCTGCATCTCCTGGTTCTCAGTGGAATGAAGAAATCTGAAGGAAACTGTGTGCAGAAATTTCCTCAGATCTGTTCCCAGACATCTACCAACTTTTGGGAGAATGTTGCAATTACCAGCCGCAGGAAACCTGGGTCTTAAGAAAAATCTTGGCCTGGGGTATCCCACAGAGTTCATTCAGGGAATCAACATGTGGTTTTTTTCTACTTTTTAACACAAAATTACATATGGTACAACTGTTCTGATAAATATCGACTTTACTTCTGTCATTGTGGAAATAACAGAATTCCATTAAGATCAAATCAGCTGATTACTTGCTTGGATACTCAGTGGGATTTCTCTCTGCTACCCTTTTTTCTTTTGAAGATCTCTGTCTGTGAAAATGTTATTTGACTTCTCCTTGAGTGATACTTCTCAAACACACCATGGAAATACTTCCCAGTAAAGCTATTAAGTTTGAAGTGAAGCATGGTGCAATAGTTACAATTCTTTAAACTGTAATTTCTTCAAATTTCTCTACGCTCTGAATGGTGAAAGACAGTGACATAGATACTACCAGTAGTTTGACTGTGTTGTTTGGAAGCATGCTGCTGTGAGCTGCCAATATGTGATAAGAAATACAGTGGGACAAATTTCCACTTAAAAAAAAAAATTAAATTTGGCATAGAAAGGTCATGGGTGATGCACAAACTTTGTAAAAATCAAGGTAGAGCAATTTTTCTCAAGAGGCTCCTTAAGAGCTGATCTGTACTGTTCTGATCTAAATGTTGCAACCCTGGATTTGTGTTGGGTTGTTGTTTTCTTTTTAAAAGCTTAAATCTAGAAGTGTTTCATGGTGGAGAATCTTACGTTGAACATGGAACATTATAGCTACTTGCAGTTCTTCAGAATTAATGAAACTGAGAAGGAAAAGAAACAAGTCTAATTATGTTACTCTGTGGTAACATTATTGCATAACTTAGTGGACATAATACAGCCAGTAAACAACATTAAAAAGAATAAACATGATGGGAAAGACCATTCTGGACCACTTGTCTATCAGGTTAACATCAGTCAGATCAGGGATTTTGACTTTGATCTGGGATGCCCTCCTGTGTAAGTGTCCCTTTTTATGGAGCCTGTGCCTGTCCAGAGCACTCCTGCTGTAGAGGTCTCTGCTGGAAGTGGCTCTTCTGTGCTGCAGGCTGGCACTGTCGCTCGTGTGCCTGGTGGCTCGGGGCTCATGGAAGATGGTGCAAATGTTATTTCGTAGCTCAAGAGGCTCCAGAAGCATGTTTCCATGAGCGTCAACCTGTGTCAAGGAAGGAATGGGGATTAGACAAGCTCCTCAGCCAGCCCAAGGTGTTTCCCAGATGGACTTTGTGGCTGTAGTGTCAGGGTGCTCCTGGGGCTGCAGTGACAGTCCTCTCTAGTACATTCACAAAGGTGAAAAGACACTGAATGCGCTTTCCTGACTGGGATGAAATTAGCTATTCAACATCTAAGCACTCTCTATCCTGACTCAGCTCCTTGGTCTTGTAATTCAGTTAATTGTCTCATCCTCTGTTTTGTGATTTTATCTTTTACTTGGACCATGGTATTTTTGAAATACTGATCTTTAAATCTAGTGACTGGCACCTGAAGCTTTCACGTACTCAAGATGAAAAGAAAAAGTTGCTGTGTCTGCCCATTTTAAACAGTTTTTGACTGTTTTAGTGCTGCAGGTTAGTTTCTAAAAATTTTTTAACAATGGGTTCATCATATGAAGAGCATGTAGATACACAATACACATGTATTTTATCAGTTATTATAAAATACTCGTGATGAGAATTGATTTTGGGCAATAACTCTATTACAGGGATGAAACCATAGCACATTAACTTGTTCATGTGCAGATAGAATAATCCATTTTATTCAATGAAAACTTACATTCAGTTGCATTTTTATGTGTTAGTGTCAGAAGCAGCTGTTTCAAATATGTCTGTCCCTTTATTTGTGCTATTAATCAAAGCACTGTTTTAAATACCTGAGCAAAGAACTGGAAACTGCAACCAGTATGTACATGCCTGGCACAAACAATTATATATATAAAAATATTAAATATTTTTGTATCATTGTCTTCTCATGTATGAGTGTAATTAACCATGAATTGCTGCATTGCTGTGAAATGTTCTCCTTTTCACAAATCTTTCGTTTTCTACACATTTGTAGTAAAACCTCTTTTGAAAAGTTTTTGTGCTATTTCCAGATTAACTTCTGATTTCTCCACAAAGACTTAATAGATGTTTCAAATTCACAGATATTTAAACATCCACCATGGCTCATATGAGAGAAATATACATCATAACACTGGCCTCTTAAATGAAACTTCAAGGTCTTCACCTTGAGGCTTGAATATTACGGTTGTTTTTGGTAAATTGTGGTGTTGGACCTATCCCAAATTTATAACAAACTCAATCATGTCTGTGGATGCCTTTATATCATCGAATAAGTTATTAATTATAGACAATATTTAGTCTTGTGAGGCACCATTGAAATACAGTGCTTAGTTTACACTCTGAGCTTTACATTTTTAGTAAGACATAGCAGACCTAGGAAATCATATAATAATTACAGCAGATTTGAAGTATGTGCAAGAAGAATTTCCAAACAAAACATACAGGGAAACCTAGTTTTTGTGAGTTGCTGCAAAGGAAAGATGGGACCAAAGAAAGTTTCAGTTCCACCTGGCAATGTGGAAGATGTTCTTTCCCATCACAAGGAGAAATCTTTACATCATTACTGACAGCATATTTGCACTGTGCCAGACTAAGCACTTAATAACTGAAAGAAAAGCAGTGAAGGGAATATTTGTACAAAAGCCACACAAGAGAACTGTGAGGTAAAAAAGCCTTCTAAGTGAAGCAATAAGGCATCACAGGAAGAAAATGCACTGTTCTGGTTTAGAAATTGACTGATGACAAATGTGCTGAAATGAGAATTCAGTGGTAACACCCCAGTTCCTACCACTGTTTTGGTGGGAAAAGCTCTCATGTTCTGGGTTAGAAAGGTCAGCTTGTCACAAATCAGCATGGTGTTTCAAATGTTTGCTTGAGATATGGGCTGTATATTCATACTTTTTAGGTCACTTCTTTAAATTTAAGAAGAAGGAAGATTTAAGCTAGGGTCTCCTACTCTTCAGAGGACTGCCATAACTATGGGACTATTAATTTACTCTGAAGATCTGATGTGTCTTCTGTGCAGTCAGATACTATCACTGGCAATCCTTGAACCTTAACCTTTTTATTAATAAATAGTGATATTCCATAAGCTGTTAGTGTGAGTCCTTCCCAGGTGCTGGCTGTTGCTGGTAGTGGGTAACATAAATAAAGAGGAAGACCCACTAAGGGGTCATAAACTGGGAAGAGCTGCTGAGGGGTCTCCCTCAGGCTGTCCCCGTCAGTGACATCTAGGTTTGACAAATGAACAAGGAGATATCAACGGTCTTTATGCTTTATTCAGAGAAACAGAAAGATTGATTACTACAAATTAATAGTTTTTGTATATTAAAAATAAAAATGGCATAAATTGTGAAGGTGGAGAGACTTTATTTCCATCTTCTTCAGTCTTTATGGAGCAGCCACATATGAAACAGCAGTTAGTTCTGTTCCATTTTTCATCTGGTCTTCTCTACACTGTTCATATTGTTTGCTGAGTGTTGCTCAAGCATCTAAAGCTTGTGTTATCTGGTGGAGGAATTTGAACTCTTTTAGGCTTTGGAGTTGTATGTCAGATGAGAATGATCAATATCTTCACCTGGCACAAAGAGATGAAGCACTGTTACATATCTTCTAGTAGTTACAGGTGCCTGTATGGATAAGTGGTGTGGGTCAAGAGTAAAAGGGAAAAAATGTCCCATACTTACAACTGTACTTCTTTTATGCTCAAAAACCGACTTTCCCCTGCTCTGGTGAAGGCATCATAATACCAGTGAAAAATCTCAAAAAATGATGGAGAGGGGCTGGGAGCTGTTTCCCTGGAGGTAACAGAACCTTGCTGTGTCCCACTGTTCTGGTCACATGCACTCTTCCTGCCAAAGACAGAAATACAACTGTTGGAAATCAGCATTTCTGTGCTGAGTAAAATTATTGTTCACAATGTCTCACATCAGTGTGTGGAACACAAAATTCACCAATACCCATTCACATGTGTGTGTTTATGTATATGTGTGCATATATATGTATTTACAATCACAAACCTGCCCTGTACAGGCAGAAAGCAGTCTGTTCACTCAAAGAACTCTCAGTCTCAGAATGGGATTGCTCTCTGAAGTGTGAGCACTTAGAAATCCTGGTACAAAGCATGTATTACTTCTTTTTTCTATCAGAAAAATGATGGTGTATGCAATGGTAGTGCTTTAAAAACTTTCCATCCCATTCTGAGTACCAATCCCAGTGTAATCTTTGCTGCATAACATTTAGACAAAAGCTTTTAGTTATGAGTTATGGCATTTTGTTAGTTAAATGAACTCTCCAAATGTGTAGGAGAAGAACTTACCTGCACTCTTATCCTTTACTCAGTTCAGTGCACTGGGGCACATGTAGCCAAGGCTGACCTCTGAAGAAGTCTTGATTTCCTCTTCATCATGAATCCTTGCTGTGCTGCTTCTCACCTAGGCTGCGTTATCTCAGCAGCTGTCGAGGTAGCTGGTCAGAGTTTGTGGGTTATGTTGATTTTCCCCTTCCTTATTTTCCACAGAAATGGATAAGCAGTGTCTGTGCAGGACAATCCATACTGGGGTGGCTTATCTGCTGTGCTCTGTGGAAGACAGTACTTTGTGGGGTCTTGGAGACTGCTGATTGCCTGAACTGAATTTGTGTCCTCACTGTAATAAAGCATCTCCTACATGGTGGGACAGAAGGCAAAGAACTTTTAATGGGCTCATGAGTTCACTGAGACTGAGGACATGATGGCTATGTTAATGAGGCATAGCTGTAGTGGTGGGACACCAAACACACAGCTCGAGAATTAATAAGATATCACAGAGTGTCTGAAATGCACTTCCAGATGTGTATGTGACACTGTAGCCATCTATCAAGATGAAGTCTTACTTCTTAGAGTTTTATGTGTTGGTCTCATTTTTCAGACTGAACAGAGGGCACAAATACAGTTTTGTTCAAATGTTTTCACCTCAGGCCACAGCAGTAAAGAAGTTTATAGGACAGCCTGGGCAATATCTCATTAAAACTTGGATGTAATATATTGTAAGGAAAGCACAGGAAGGAAGAAAATTTTTGGCTTGTTAGGATATGTATTTTCCTCTGCATCAGACTGGGCCAAATACACCTGAGGCTTCAAAGGATTTGTTTCTGAAAAACTGGGGAAAAGTGAAATAGGTTTATAGATGTTTGCAAGTGCTCAGTGACGTATTGCAAAATTAAACTCATCCTCATTAAAAATATGTCCATAGTATTACTTTCTGTAAGTTTTCTGGCTTGTTTTTTAAGGAGGGGGTAATTGTGGTGTGCCTGAATTTAGCTGAGGGAAAAAATCCTGACATCTATGAAAGCTGTTAAACCTAGCAGCAGCATCCTTGTGTTCCTCAAAGGTCAGTGCTACAGGCTTCATTCAGGGCTCACTGAAGCAACCGAGCTTGTCTATGCTTTTTATTTTTGGTGAAGTTTCTGTATGTAAAGAGGAACTTTACTATAAACATTTCTTCTATACTACCTTCTAAAGCAAAAAAAAAGATACAGCTGAAGTGGTAACTATTTAACTTCCTTGTGCCCCTTGTACTTCTTCTGCAAGAAATACAAATAAGAAAGAAATATGTGTCCTAAATATTCATTTCCATTTTCTGTATTTTCTTACTCTGTTTCCAGTTGAAGATGGAACAGACCATATTTTGCTGTGATCTCCTTAAAATACAATTTTTCTCTAGGCAATCTTAAATACTTTTGCATTGCTTTTGCACATGTTCTACCTGTATTTATCTCTATAATCATATAAATGAACATTTTTACAGTAAAAGTAATGTTTGGCAAGATAACTTGAACATTTTACCTGGATTCTATTTGTTTCCAGTCTGCTCTTCTCTCCTGTAGCATGTCCTGCTCTGCCTGCTGTCTTTTTTTGACGTTGAGGTCCTTTCCCAAAGAATATGTAGTTTACAAAGGCATATTCCAGCAAGGCCAGGAACACAAACACAAAGCATCCCATCAGGTAAATATCTATTGCCTTGACATAGGGAATCTTTGGCAAGGTCTCCCTGAGGTGGGTGCTGATGGTGGTCATGGTCAGCACAGTCGTGATTCCTGCGAAGGGAAGAAATAGACATTGACTAATAAAACAAGGAAGGAGATTTGAGCACAGAAGACACAATGGCAGCATTGCACTTCTCATGCAGATGGGTTAATTTTGTGATCAGGTTCTTAGCAGCCAAAGAAATGTGTTTTGCAGAACTGGAAAGGAACATATCCTTGCAAGTCTGCTGATGGCACCTTCCTTGGCTTTTCATGCAGTGGAGGATGAATGAAATAACCTTTAATAGCCCAGGCTATGTTGGAACTTCTTGCCTTAATTTTTGCAGTTACTGTGCTAGGGAATGTGGTGTTAGCTGACCTGGATAGCAAAAGTTGATTGCTGTTCTATGTGAGAAAATGCTTTTCCTTTCACTTACAGCAGTAGCTCTGCTTGACCCTATAGGTGACTTGCATTGCTGTGGGGATCTGCAGTAAGTATCTAGCATTTGATTTAAATTGGAGGATTGAGAGGAGAAAGAGAAGCCTTTTGACAAAGTGATGGTCTTTGATGAAGAGAAGGTTATATATATGCTTGAACCAAAGCAACTTTTCCTGTTAACTAGGTGCTTGCAAGTAAAGCATTTCCATCTCATTGTGTTATCCATCACTGAATGATTTTTTCCCCATATGTGTTTTTTCTTTTAGCTGGCTGAAATTAGTTTTCAGTCTGCTTTAATCACAGGTCATTACTGCATGCAGAGAATAGCTCTAGGCACAGGTGTAACAAGTTTAATTTTCAGGGAGATGGGACAAAATGGCTTTTTGGCAATAGAGCTGAAAAACATATATGCCTTAAAGTACACACAGTGCAGAAGATCTTCATTCTTATAGAAAGTTGCAGGGAGGAAGGTGGTATGGGAAAGAACTAACTATATGTAAACCAGATTTATTTGGTGTAAGCTGGTGTATCTCCACTGATGTCAGCAGGATCTTGTGTATTCCTTCCAGTCACAGATCTGGCCTGAGAGAACACTTTTAACATCAATAGGGATTGTTCATGCAGCACAGTGTGGATACCCTAAGACACCTGAATTGGACTTTTACACTCCAGTTTGGAAGCAAAATGTTTTCAAAAATGCTTGCAAACCATTATCACAACAGGAAGTCAGTCAGAATCCCAACCTAAGTGTGGAGCAAGAGCTTCAGATGTAGCAAGGTCACACCTGCCTGCCTTCCTGACAAGCCTGTGCTGCTTGTGTAAGATCACAATTAATGATGCTATAACCAGCAGAATGGATTTGGTGCCACTGTTTTCAAAGGCAGCAAGTGCCCACATCATTCAGTCATTTTGAGAAGTAGTTACCTAGAGCAACTCTGGCTGCAGAGGCATCATAATTGATCCAAAAAGACACCCATGACAGAATTGTGATCAGCGTGGAAGGCATGTAGGTTTGCAAAATGAAGTATCCAATATTTCTTTTAAGCCGGAAGCTAAGTGATAGTCGAGGATATGCTCCTGGAAGAAAGAAGTCACGTAATGACTAATGCCTCACAAAAGGTAGGCACTGATATTTCTGGGTTGGAGGAAGAGGGGACAACTTTTTTTAACTTGTCAGTGCTTACCTGTTGTAAATTCCACTCTCTTTGATACCATCTTGTAATCCACAATAGAAAATTGTGGGAGCTCGATGTTATTAACTCCTGTCACTGCAGACTCTCCTCCATTCCAGTAAAATTCAATATCATCAGTAGTGTATCCATCTGAAATAGAGGCACAACTTGATTACTGACTTTTCTTTTTGCTTTATTACTTTGCCTAAATAGTAGCAGTTCAAGTGGAAGGAGCTGCTGTTAAACAGGAATTCAGCCTTCTGTTGTGTGACATTCCTGTTACACAGAAGCCTTCTCTATGCCCTGAGGAAGATTCTAGATGTAGAAGAGGAGAAGACAAAAAACAAGGACGGAATTCATGATTAAAGTTTGTTTTTTAGCTAGCTCTAATACTACTACTTTTCAATCAGGCTTGAGCTGCTCAGTTTGCCAACAGACAGACACATCATCAGCAAAACTTTTAAACTCTCTTAGGAGGAGCTCTGACAGTAAAACCAAGTTCAGTCCCCAGATTTTCATTTGATTTCCTATGCAGGATGTGACAACATACACAGTGGGGAGCCAGTGGAGACAAAGACGATTCTAGAAGAATTAAGGTGCCTGTAGTGTCACCTGACAATGTCTGTCAGAGCTGTAGGTAACCCTTTGATATTCATGAAGCATTTTATATTTTAATTAGACCATGCCATCTTTGATCTTCTGTTATCACAGAACTATTTCTTTTTTTCTCCAAAACTAGCACCTTTCTTCTGTTTCCTTTTAACAGTGATGTTGATTATTTATAATGTAATTAAAAATTAATTCGCTATTATATCACTGGAAATGTTAACATTATTGTTACCATTTTCAGAATTATTTTGATTGAACTCAGAAGTGACTGAGTTTCAAAAAATCTTGCAATTGACAACATTTTTGAACTAATATTTAAACTGGTTCCACTTTATTGCATTTTTCTACTTTCCCCAGATATCTACCAGAGGAGAGAACATCTCATCTATTTTTAAATTTTTCCTTCAGGTGTTAGATTTAATCAGGTTTAAATCATATAACACAGATCAAATAAAAACATGTGTTTGAACTCAAACCTTTAGAAAACTTGACAGTACTTTTGCCAGTTGAACCAACTGTAGCCTTGAAGCCTCCACTGAGTTAGGAACCTATCCCTTCATATGCACAAGAAATGCAATATCAAGCTAGGGAAATTAGTCTTGAGATGTCTTTTCCTGTGATGGTGCCTGGTAATAGCCTCATCCCTAAAAGGCTGACCACATGCAGAACAGATCCATGGTTTCCCTGGTGACAGTCAGAGAAACTCAAAGGACGAGATTGCTTGGAAAGTCTACAGCTGTTGAACAGCTAT